ATGTGTGAATTAACGCAACTCAACAACATATGAAAACAGATATATCCTGGACTCACGTTAAACACGGAAGTTTGATTTTCCCATATTCTAACTGCTGGTCCTCCACTGTACAAGCTTCTGTGTGTAAAAGCTTCTGTGTGTAGAATCTTCTGTGGGTAAAAGCTTCTGTGTGTAGAATCTTCTGTGGGTAAAAGTGTCTGTGTGTAAAAGATTGTAAAAGTGTTTGTGTGTAAAAAGCTTCTGTGTGTAAAAGCTTCTGCTTGTAAAAGCGTCGGTGTGTAAAAGCTTCTGTGTAGAATCTTCTGTTGGTAAAAGTGTCTATGTGTAAAAGCGTCTGCGTGTAAAAAGCTTCTGTAATTAAAAGCTTCTGCATGTAAGAGCGTCGGTGTGTAAAAGCTACTGCGTGTAAAATCTTTTGTGGGTAAAAGTATCTGTGTGTACAAGCGTCTGCGTGTAAAAAGCTTCTGTGTGTAAAAGCTTCTGTGTGTAACAGGTTCTGTGTAAAAGCTTCTGCGTGTAAAAGCTTCTGTGTGTAAAAGCTCCTGTGTGTAAAAGCGTCTGTGTGTAAAAGCTTCTGTGTGTAGAATCTTCTTTGCGTAAAAGTGACTGCGTGTAAAGTGTAAAGGTGCCTGTGTGTAAAAAGATGCTGTGTGTAAAAGCTCCTGTGTGTAAAAGCTTCTGTGTGCAAAAGCGTCTGCGTGTAAAAAGCTTCTGTGTGTAAGAGGATCTGTGTGTAAAAGTGTTTGTGTGTAAAATTTTCTGTGTGTAAAAGCGTCTGTTTGTAAAAGCGTCTTTGTGTAAAAATTTCGGTGTGTAGAACCTTTTTTGGGTAAAAGTGTCTGTGTGTAAAATTGTAGTGTGTCAAAGCTTCTGTGTCTAAAAGCTTCTGCGTGTAAAAGTGTTTGTGCGCACAGGTTTCTGAGTGTAAAAGCTTCTGTGTGTAAAAGCTTCTGTGTGTAAAAGCGTCTGTGTGTAAGAGCTTCTGTGTGTAAAAGCGTCTGCGTGTAAAAGCGTCTGTGTGTAAAAGCGTCTTTGTGTAAAAGCGTCTGTGTGTAAAATCGTCTGTGTGTAATCAAATGCTTCTTATGTAAAAGCGTCTGTGTGCAATAACTTGTGTGTGTAAAAGCGTCTGTGTGTAAAAGCTCTTGTGTGTAAAAGCTTCTGTGTGCAAAAGCTTCTTTGTGTAAAAGCTCCTGTGCGTAAAAGCTTCTGTGTACAAAAGCGTCTGCGTGTAAAAAGCTTCTGTGTGGTTCTGTGTGTAAAAGTGCCTGTGTGTAAAAAGCTTCTGTGTGTAAAAGCTTCTGTGTGCAAAAAGCTTTTGTGTAAGGCGTCTGTGTGTAAAGCGTCTGTGTGTAAATGCTTTTGTGTGTAAAAGCGTCTGTGTGTAAAAGCATCTGCCACTGCAGCGGAGACTGTGTGTGTGTGCGTGTGCGGGTCTTCGTCTTTGTGTGCGTGTATGTCTGTGCCTGCGTGTGCGTGTGCGCGTGTATGTGTCTTCCTCTTTATGTTCTGTTTGTATGTGTGTGTGTGTGCGTGTGGTGTCTGTCTGTGTACCGTGTGTGTGTGTAACATCTAAATAGATGTAAAACTTCTCTCTCCTTTTCTTCCTTTGTCCTCTCCCTTTTTAATTCTAAATTCAATGCAGGGGGGCAATCTCATGTTTGCAGCTGATTGCCCAACGAAGAGGGCTGCATTCATGACTGATATGACTCTGGGACGCTGGAGTCACGTACCTGCTATTTCAATTTTGACTGACATGGCACGCGGCCAAGCCTAGAACCGCACGGCTGTATTTTCACTTCACGGTTGTCGCAATCTGGAATCAATTTTGGTCATTTACGATTTGTTTCGCTGCATCAGAACCTTCCTCAGAGCAAGGACGTAGAAAGCCTACTTGGAATAATCTGTTTACATGATCGCCGACAAAATCGAAATCTTCGCCGAGACATCGCTGATGATATTATTGCTGGTTTATTTATTCTTTTTGATGTCGCTTCTGAACCCGATGACCATGCTGAAGTACTTCTATTATTTCGTGGGATGCATCGTTAATTTCATTGTTTCGTATCTAATCTGCATGTTTCAGGATTCAGTTCCTACCGGATCATATAATGATCCATTCTTGTCTAGTGTGATTTCCATGGTGGCTCCGACATGGTGCCATGGAGCCATTTGAGGCAACCCTTTTCAGGGTGAGTGTCGACAGTCTTGAACTCTGAATTAACAATTTTAATTTGATAATTCGCTTGAGTAAATTGTAACAGTTGGCCTTCTGTTCTGCTCCATTTTTTGAGTATCCTGCTGCTCCTGCGGTCCCTTGTGAAACCTGTGGAATGCATCCCTCACGGTGAAGCCGTTCTGAACTGCCAGAAACTCCATTTTTTACTACTGCAGCAACTTTTGCAGCGTCATTGCATCATGTCACGACACTTGAATCAGGCAGGCACACGTCTTGCAGGTGTGGTTTTCTTTCCTTTTGGTTCTCTGGTGAGGTGAAACATATTGTGCATCTAATTCGAGGGAATTTGTAAGCCGTTTTATGCCCTTGTGGCTGACTGGAGCACGGGCCTGGATTGGCACAACGCACGACCTTTAGGTTTAGGAGCTGAATCCTGTCTTTAATTAATTGTTTTGGTTTTCTTGCCTGTCATTAACTAGTCCCCCATTTGGTCCCTAATCTTCCCCGCGTGCCTCTCCGTAATGTGTCGTGGGGTTTAGGTGTGTGCGCTGTTTTTGGTCAGGTCCGTTTCGCCGTGTAGGTTGGTTCCGGAGGTCCGTCTGTTCCCCTCCCCCCCTCTGCGCTGTTTTTGGCCGTCTGCCCGTCGTGTGTCCGCTTTTTTCTTCCTCTTGCCTTTCAGGGTTGACCCGGCTCCGGCCGGGTGTGTGTGTGTGTAACATCTAAATAGATGTAAAACTTCTCTCTCCTTTTCTTCCTTTGTCCTCTCCCTTTTTAATTCTAAATTCAATGCAGGGGGGCAATCTCATGTTTGCAGCTGATTGCCCAACGAAGAGGGCTGCATTCATGACTGATATGACTCTGGGACGCTGGAGTCACGTACCTGCTATTTCAATTTTGACTGACATGGCACGCGGCCAAGCCTAGAACCGCACGGCTGTATTTTCACTTCACGGTTGTCGCAATCTGGAATCAATTTTGGTCATTTACGATTTGTTTCGCTGCATCAGAACCTTCCTCTGAGCAAGGACGTAGAAAGCCTACTTGGAATAATCTGTTTACATGATCGCCGACAAAATCGAAATCTTCGCCGAGACATCGCTGATGATATTATTGCTGGTTTATTTATTCTTTTTGATGTCGCTTCTGAACCCGATGACCATGCTGAAGTACTTCTATTATTTCGTGGGATGCATCGTTAATTTCATTGTTTCGTATCTAATCTGCATGTTTCAGGATTCAGTTCCTACCGGATCATATAATGATCCATTCTTGTCTAGTGTGTGTGTGTGCGTTTGTGTCTGTGTCTTTGTTTGTGCGTATGTGTGTGTGTATGTGTTTCTTTGCTGTCTGTTTCTGTCGGTCTCTCAAATTTTGTGTCTATCTTTGTCTACTTCTGCTTAAAATCTGACATGGAATTTCAATGTCCTTTCTGCTGATCATCCGCATCTTTGATACTACAATGTTTTTGATACTACTTACAACAGAGTAACATGCTCTTCTACGCTCTCGGGCCATCCGTCGTCTAGTTTTGTTGCTTGGCTGGCGCGCTTGTTGATCCCATGTGTGTTTCCCTTGGAGTTTTTCCTGCTCTTGATCATTGTCCCGTTGGCTCGGCTTGGCGTTTCCCGGCGTCCCGTTGGCCCGGTGTCCCGTTGGCCCAGTGTCCCGTTGGCCCGTTGGCCCGGTGTCCCGTTGGCCCGGTGTCCCGTTGTCCCGTTGTCCCGTTGGCCCGGTGTCCCGTTGTCCCGTTGTCCCGTTGGCCCAGTGTCCCGTTGTCCCGTTGTCCCGTTGGCCCGGTGTCCCGTTGTCCCGTTGTCCCGTTGGCCCGGTGTCCCGTTGTCCCGTTGTCCCGTTGTCCCGTGGGCGGTGGCGCGCCTCTTCTCTCATCTTGGCAAGGAAGTCACGGGTGTTTTGCGTGTGGATATATGCATCTATGTATATATATATACACCCTTTTAATATGGGGGGGCACCTGCCCAAAAAAAAACGCTTTGTGGTTTTGCAAAACAGTTTCTATCTATAGTATCGCAGTGGTATATGCAGTCAAAATGCCAAATATCACCGGTTTTTGTCTTCCCCATCATGCATTTTCCAGCCTGCAACAGTTCTATTTTTTTGCGCCGTTATTTTCAGGAAACGGTGCGCATACAATCATCAAACATATGCCCAACTATCCAGGTTTGCTTTGAATAGCAACTCGGGACAATAGATTGAAAAAATATTATACAATCATATATGTTCGAGGTGTGGCACTTTTCTATCTATTCCCGGAAGGCTATATTATAAATATAGTATGTATGAGACGTTTGTAAATCTTACAACAAACGCGCTGAAGCAGAATTGGCCACTAGCTCTTCAACACACATAGCTGGTTTCAAGACCCGAAAGGGCCTCCAAGATTTGAATGGGCAAGCGCAGATGCGGTGTGGGTGATTTTAACTACCGAATATGGTGTTTCCATTGCCCTGGACCATAGCCGCAGCTCGCTTGGTTGATGGTTTCAAAACTTGGCATCTTCATCCCCCGATCAGATTTTTAACGTGGGACAACAGGTTCCGCACTTGATTGCCATGCTTGTGTCAAAGGCCGGGCAACCATGAACCGGTAGATGTTTCATCATAAAAATCCACATGGTCAATGCTCCTGTTTTTCTATATATTGGGATCTGTAATCATTTGCCAAAACTCAGGGTATTTTCCAGTTTCACCGAAAATTAATAAACGGTGGGACCCCGCAAAAAACGACCAATTAACTATGCTTTTTCGTACAGTCTGCATGTTTCCGACGTCTATGCCATTTTGCTCTTTCTTCACGGCCAAATCTAAATCTCACACCGAGGTTTGCCCAAAGTATACTCCTCTGTGAGAGGCGGGGGCGCAAGCGAGCGTGGCCTTGAAGGTCGGGTGTGCCTCAGAAATGCCCCATGGCAGACTTGGGAGGTAAATCCAGCCAAACGTGCAAGACTACTTGTATAGCGTCATTCCCAAGCCCATTTAAGGGTAGTACCGCCCGTGCTGATCAAACGCACGGCGCTCGGAGGTCAAGGGTGATGGTTTTGCAGGAATCAGCTCTCAAAGGCGCAAATAAAAGGCCCACCCGAAAATGTTGGCCAATCTTCTCCATGCCATCCCGTGCCCTCGTTAGAACCATCGCTAAGTTTGCTGTCTTGGGGTCAAAACCCCAGCAGATTGGAAGGGTCAAAGAGTCAAAGATTGATACGTACTACAGGATATTCACTAAGTCATCACACAGGACACCCAAATTCGTACTCTTCTCGCTGCTCTGCTACAGTTTCCAAGTCCTTGCCGGTTTCTGGTAGACAGGGGAACCAAAAATGGGGCATAAGGCCAGCTTAATGACATGAGGCAACGGCTCAACAACTGGAACTTGGGGGGTAAACATGCAAATTACTTTACTTCGTGTGATCCCCACCATGACATTTTCTCTGGCATTCTATCTGGCATATCTTCTGGCATTCTATCTGGCACATGTTCTGGCATATCTTCTGGCATATTTCCTGGCACTCTATCTGGCATATATTCTGGCATATCTTCTGACATTCTATCTGGCAAATCTTCTGGCATTCTATCTGGCAAACATTATGGCACTTTATCTGGCATACCTTCTGGCACTTTATCTGGCATACCTGCTGGCATTCTATCTGACATTCTATCTGGCATACCTTCTGGCATTCGATCTGGCATATCTTCTGGCACTCTACTTGGCATATCTTCTGGCATATCTTCTGGCATTCTATCTGGCATTCTATTTGGGATATCTTCTGGCATTCTATCTGGCCGTTGAGGTCCAGCGGTGCACACTGAGCTGGGCAGGTCCCAGGTTGAGGTCCAGCGGTGCACACTGAGCTGGGCAGGTCCCAGGTTGAGGTCCAGCGGTGCGCACTGAGCTGGGCAGGTCCCAGGTTGAGGTCCAGCGGTGCACACTGAGCTGGGCAGGTCCCAGGTTGAGGTCCAGCGGTGCACACTGAGCTGGGCAGGTCCCAGGTTGAGGTCCAGCGGTGCACACTGAGCTCGGACGCTGGCGAAGAGCTTGGCGAAGAGTTGGCGAAAAGCTTGGCGGAGGAGAAGGCGGAGGACAAGGACGAGGAGGACGAGGAGGACGAGGAGGACGAGGAGGACGAGGAGGACGAGGAGGACGAGGAGGACGAGGAGGACGAGGAGGACGACGAGGAGGACGAGGAGGACGAGGACGAGGAGGAGGAGGAGGAGAGCTAGCCGAGAACAGCACCGATAAAATCTAACAGTCTAACAACCCTCACCTGGCAGGTGGGGAAAACAACAAACCCAACGCTGAAGCCAACCATATTCATTAGGGTCTTTCCTGGTGGTGTCCTTCCGAAGTGGCCTGAACACTTTTTGGGAGACATTCCCTGTTCTTTAATAGCAACGACTCATGTTTTTTGCATCTATATAGTAAAAGCAGTGGGGCCTCGGCTTCTCGTCGTATTTAGTTTGATGGAATGATGTGTCTGATTGGCCCACAAGGTTTCCTTTCAGAATAGCAAGCCCACAAAAATCCATAAATATCCACAAACGACCTATTTGAGACTGAAAAGACTGCAAACCAATTCGCGAGGGCCCACCATAAGCTGGATGCACCCTCCCAGATTACGACACGGCACTGGAGCGAAGACCGACCTCGCTGCACGTCCTGCTATGCGGTGGGCAGCTAGCTTAGCTGGAATAGGATTTGGAAATGAGCACTTGATGAGCCGTTGCTTGTTGCCACAAACATGTCACAAACATGCTAAAAATAAGTCACCAGACCGACCTGCATGAACGACAGGCAAAATCAAAAACAAAATCTTTGTCAAACACACCGACTTTTTCAAGGGAGCCCGGCCTCGTCACCCACAGGTTCCAGTCCCTGCAGTTGAAAGCATGTCGCTGCTCGTGGAATGGTTCCGTGTGCCCAGTAGAAGAGACACTTCCCACGTGTGTGTGTGTGTGTGTGGAGAGTGTGTACCAAGTGAGTGTGCGTGTGTAACATCTGTATAGATGTAAAACTTCTTATCATTGCGGGGGCATGTGGCACTCATGTCCTACCACACGCAATGAAGCTGTGGACATGAGTGGGATGGGAAACGTGGCCGGTTTCCTGTACCTGCAACTTTTATATATATATATATACACATATATATATAGTCCCGCCCCTGGGCACATTTAAGACGCAGCTGGGGGGGACTTATATTTTATCGCTGTTGGTTTATACTGTCATTGTCTACTGTGATTATGCGTCTATATATATATATATATATACATACATTTTTTTCATTCCTCGTGTCAATCTAACTGTTGCGGTTGTGTGCACGTCTGGTGCATTCCACATCAAAATTCGATAAGACAGGTCTGAACAAGTGTGTTACTCACAGCGCCTTTCGTCACGATGTTGTGAGCCCCTCGGGGAATGCTTTTCTAAGCAAGATTTGGACGCCATAATTTGACCTCCGGATTTACATTTTTCAACCTAGTAATTCGCCTTTTTTCGGTTTTCACCCAGTCGACAGTCGATGTGTTGAACAGCTGCCCGCTGTTTCAGGGAATCACCATTTTGTCAGTGGATGTTCTTAGCCTGTCCAGAGTAGACTGCTGAGAGCCGCGACAACAACCTTCCGTTACTTCAAGAGACTGCCCGCAGCCATTTTTCACATGACGATGAAGGCAACAGGAGATGCCTGCAGGTATGGTGACTCTTTCTTTTTCCCGAGAGCGTCTGAGCGCAGGGTTCTTCCAATAGTGGGGGTCTGTATCTCATCTTCTCATCTTCACACCTTCTCATCTTCACACCTTCTCATCTTCACACCTGCTCATCTTCACATCTGCTCATCTTCACATTCTTCACATCTGCTCATCTTCACATCTGCTCATCTTCACATCTGCTCATCTTCACATCTGCTCATCTTCACACCAACTCATCTTCACACCTGCTCATCTTCACACCTGCTCATCTTCACATCTGCTCACCTTCACATCGCTCATCTTCACACCTGCTCATCTTCACATCTGCTCATCTTCACATTCTTCACATCTGCTCATCTTCACATCTGCTCATCTTCACATCTGCTCTTCACATCTGCTCATCTTCACATCTTCTCTTCACATCTGCTCATCTTCACACCTCATCTTCACATCTTCACATCTGCTCATCTTCACATCTGCTCATCTTCACATCTGCTCATCTTCACATCTGCTCATCTTCACATCTGCTCATCTTCACATCTTCACATCTGGCTCATCTTCACATCTGCTCATCTTCACATCTTCTCTCTCTCCTCTCTCTCTCTCTCCTTTTTCTCTCTCTCGCCTTCTTTATCTTTCTCTCTTTAGGCCGAGGGTGGCACCGGCGGTGAGTCACGAAACGTCAACCCTTTCGCACGAAATGAGGATCGATCGGCAAAAACTGAGGTAAAATTGCGATTTTCCGTGTGCTGGAGCAACCCTTTCACACGAAATGAGGGTCGATCGGCAAAAACTGAAGTAAAATTGCGATTTGACTTGTCCCGGAGCAACCCTTTCGCACGAAATGATGGTCGATCGGCAAAAACTGAAGTAAAATTGCGATTTTACCTGTCCTGGAGCAACCCTTTCGCACGAAATGAGGGTCGATCGGCAAAAACTGAAGTAAAATTGCGATTTGACTTGTGCTGGAGCAACCCTTTCGCATGAAATGAGGGTCGATCGGCAAAAACTGAAGTAAAATTGCGATCTTACTTGTCCTGGAGCAACCCTTTCGCACGAAATGAGGGTCGATCGGCAAAAAGTGAAGTAAAATTGCGATTTTTCGTGTGCTGGAGCAACCCTTTCGCACGAAATGAGGGTCGATTGGCAAAAACTGAGGTAAAATTGTGATTTTTCGTGTGCTGGAGCAACCCTTTCGCACGAAATGAAGGTCGATCGGCAAAAACTGAGGTAAAATTGCGATTTATCGTGTGCTGGAGTAATCCTTTCGCAGGAAAAGGGGTTTGTGTGTACGAGCGTTTCTGTGTAAAGATGTTTGTGTGTAAAAGTGTTTGTGTGTACAAGTGCATCTGTGTAAAAGTGTTGTGTGTAAAACCTTCTGTGTGTAAAAGTCTTTGTGTGTAAATAAAAGTCTTTGTGTGTAAACGGGTTTGTGTGTACGAGTGTTTCTGTGTAAAGATGTTTGTGTGTAAAAGTGATTGCATGTAAAATTGCATCTGTTTAAACGTGTTTGTGTGTAAAAGCTTCTGTGTGTCAAAGTGTTTGTGTGTAAACGTGTTTGTGTGTCGGAGTGTTTCGGTGGAAAGATGATTGTGTGTAAAAGTGTTTGTGTGTACAAGTGCATCTGTGTAAAAGTGTTTGTGTGTAAAAGCTTTTGTGTGTAAAAGTGTCTCTGTGTAAACGGGTTTGTGTGTAAGAGTGTTTCTGTGTGAAGATGTTTGTGTGTAAAAGTGTTTGTGAGTAAAAGTGTCTGTGTGTCAAAGCGTGTGTGTGTGTAAATGTTTCTGTGTGTAAAGGTGTCTGTGTGTAAAAGCTTCTGTGTGTGCAATCTTCTGTGTGTAAAAGCCTCTGGGTGTAAAAGCATCTGTGTGTAAAAGGTTTTCTGTGTGTAGAAGTGCATCTGTGTAGAAGTGTCTGTGTGTAAAAGCTTTTGTGTGTAAAAGCTTCTGTGGGTAAAAGCTTTGTGTGTAAAAGCCTCTGTGTAAAAGCTTCTGTGTGTAAAAGCTACTGTGTGTAAAAGCTTTTGTGTGTAAAAAAGTCTGTGTGTAAAAGCTTCTGTGTGTAAAAGTGTTTGCGATGCAAACTATTGTCTTGCACTTCTCACTATTTTGTCTTGATACTCCTTTTCTCGACTGCCTATAACACATCTTTCATATATTGTTTGTAGAAATGTGTCTCCATACTAACAAGAGAAGACCCTGCTCCTCTACGCTCTCGGGCCATCCGTCGTCTAGTTTTTTGGTCGTTGGTGAGGCTCAATTGTGCATGTGATTCAGGGGTTGACTGCTTAAGCCGTTTCCAGGGTTGTGACTTGACAGCGGAGGGCCTGGGAGCCTGATCACGAACCTTGCATGGATTGTGGATGTATCTTTTAATTAACTAGTTCCCCATCGGTCCCCTATTTCATGTGTTCTTGCGTTCTCCTCCCTTCAGGTAGGTTGGGTCCCGTGCGTGCTGAGGTAGGCTTCGTTTTCGCCGTGTTAGGTTGGTTCAGGCGCTTCCGTCCTCCTCCTCCTCCGCTTGTCTGGTTTCGTTTCCGTCGGCCTCCGCTTCTTCTTTTTCCTTGCCTTTTCAGGGTTTTGCCCGTTTCGGGCCAGGTGTGTTGTGTTGGTGTTTGCTCTTTCCCTCTTCTCTTGCGTTCCCCTCTTCGCGTCCTGGTTAAGTAACTTTTCATCTCACCCTCATTTTCATCTCATTTTCATGGTCACTTGATCTGCCCCGCTGCGGCGGGGCGTGTGTGTGTAACATCTGTATAGATGTAAAGCTTCTTATCATTGCAGGGGCGTGTGGCACTCATGTCCTACCACACGCAATGAAGCTGTGGACATGAGTGGGATGGAAAACGTGACCGGTTTCCTGTACCTGCAACTTTATATATATATATAGTCCCGCCCCTGGGCGCATTTAAGACGCAGCTGGGGGGGACTTATATTTATCGCTGTTGGTTTATACTGTCATTGTCTACTGTGATTATACGTCTATATATAATATATATATATATACATATATTTTTTTCATTCCTCGTGTCAATCTAACTGTTGCGGTTTTGTGCACGTCTGGTGCATTCCACATCAAAATTCGATAAGACAGGATAAGACAGGTCTGAACAAGTGTGAGTGAGTGGTGAGGGAGAGGAGGACGGGAGGAGGACGGGAGGAGGAGGAGAAGGAAGGCGGAGCGGATACAGAACTAAAAAAAAACAACAACCATCAAACACGTCAATGTGGGGAAAAACCTCAAAAACAACACCACAACAACAAATTCTCAGGCACCCTGACAGCTCTGCCCTCTGGAGTCGCTGTGCGGGTGGTCTGCGAGCGCAAATGAAAAAATCGTTACCAAACGGGAATTACTGCAAAAAAACTACTAAATGCACACTGAAAAATGAATTACTGCATGAACTTGAAAGAACCATGAAAGAACCAAGTCATTGGGGTCCGCGGCCTCAGGGTAGGAGCAGCTTCCTGGCTCGCTCCTGCCACGATCCTTGATTGCTTCGGGTAGAAGGGGCATAGCCTGAAGGGCGAACGGCCAAACCTGAAAGTATGGACATCGGCATGTTACAGCCACTACCGGTACCAGCCACTTATAATCAAAGAAACATGAAGCACTACATCATTATGATGATGATGATGATGGTGGTGATGATGATGTTTGTTCTGGTTATTGATGATGATGATGATTATTATTATTATTGATGATGGTTATTCTAAATATTGGCAATAGAGATGATCTAAACATGGTGACCCCGCTTTGGCCATCGCCAGAGCGCCAGATCCAGGCCTGGGCAACAGACTTCTCTTCACTTTCCTCGCCAAGGTTGGCCACTTCGATTGGGGGTTCCCAAGGCTCTCCATTGGTCCATGGGGCCCATCAAAATGAGGGGTGCATCATTCCTAGATATACATATCAGATTCCAGCATGGGTTATGAGGCAATGGCGAGTCCTAGGACTAGGATGATCCAAGTGATCCAAGTATACCGACATCACATGTTCTTCAAAAGAAATTAGGCTCATCCCAAAGATCCCAGCTCGCACCTGCAACTGACTTGCTGCAGGTTCACTTATATTTGGTTTATCATCATTTTCCTAAAATAAAATATAAATTGCTTTACTTCGTGTGATCCCCACCATGACATTTATACATTTTGTTACTGGCAAATCTTCGGGCATTCTATCTGGCATATCTTCTGGCATTCCATTGGCATTCTATCTGGCATATTATCTGGCAAATCTTCTGGCATTCTATCTGGCATATCTTCTGGCATTCTATCTGACATATCTTCTGGCATTCTATCTGGCATATCTTCTGGCATTCTACCTGGCATATGTTCTGGCATACCTTCTGGCATTCCATCTGGCATTCTATCTGGCATATCTTCTGGCATATTATCTCGCAAATCGTCTGGCATTCTATCTGGCAAACATTCTGGCACTTTATCTGGCATATCTTCTGGCATTCTATCTGACATTTTTATCTGGCATTCTATCTGGCATATCTTCTGGCGCTCTATCTGGCATATCTTCCCGCATTCTATCTGACATTCTATCTGGCATATCTTCTGGCATTCTATCTGGCTTTTGAAGTCCTGCGGTGCGCACTGAGCTCGGAAGGCCCCAGGTTGAGGTCCAGCGGTGCGCACTGAGCTCGGCAGGTCCCAGGTTGAGGTCCAGCGGTGCGCACTGAGCTAGGAAGGTCCCAGGTTGAGGTCCAGCGGTGCGCACTGCGCACTGAGCTAGGAAGGTCCCAGGTTGAGGTCCAGCGGTGCACACTGAGCTCGGAAGTTGGCGAAGAGCTTGGCGAAGAGTTGGCAAGGCAACAGTGGACGTGGAAGCGGAGGCAGAGGTGGTAGAAGAGGAGGAGGACGCGGAGGAGGAGAAGGAGGAGGAAGAGAAGGAGGAGGAGAAGAACAACTCTGATAACATCTAACAACCCTCACCTGGCAGGTGGGGAAAAAGGATGCCATCTGGTTATTTAACATAGCCATGGAAAATCCATTATCCGCCGACCCCTGCCGACAGCAGGGGGAGCGCGTCAGAGAAGAGATGACAAGCAACAAGTGACGACGAGGAGGACAGTGAAGACAGAAAAAGAAGCAAGGTGCAGTGCAAGAAAGCACGAAAAAGGAGGCTAGAAAGGAGGGGCGGTGCGAGAAAAAGAGGCAAGTGCAAGAAGCACGAAACAAGAAGTAAGAATGCAAGAGCGAAGGAGACACGGAAGCTAGAAGAGGAAGCTAGAAAGGAGGGGCAGTCCGAGAAAAAGAGGCAAGTGCAAGAAGCACGAAACAAGAATTAAGAAGCAAGAGGGGAACGAGACACGGCAGCTACAAGCAACAAGTGTCGTCGAGGAGGCAGAAAAAGAAGCAAGGTGCAGGAACGAGATACGGAAGCTAGAAGAGGACGCTAGAAAGGAGGGGCAGTCCGAGAAAAAGAGGCAAGTGCAAGAAGCAGGAAACAAGATTCAAGAAGCAAGGGGGAACGAGACATGGCAGCTAGAAAGGCAACAAGTGTCGACGAGGAGGACAGAAAAAGAAGCAAGGCCGGTGCAGTGCAAAAAGGGACGAAAAAGGAAGCTTGATAGGAAGGGCGGTCCGAGAAAAAGAGGCAAATGCAAGAAGCAGGAAACAAGAAGTAAGACTGGTCCGTCTTGCAGGTTCAGAAAGCAACGTTGGGCATTGGGGGCCGTTGGCGGCAGGCCCGGTCCGTCCTCAGGGCCCTGTTTGACGGTGGCGAAGGCGCCGTTTGTGGGCCTTGGCGGCTGGAAGACAGCTAGTTTTCATTTAGGTGCAGAAAGCAGCGTTAGGCAGTGGGGGCCGTTGCCCGCCGGCCCGGTCCGTCCTTCAGGGCCCTGCTGTTTGGCCGTGGCGAAGGCGCCGTTTGTGAGCCTTAGCGGCTGGAAGACAGCTAGTTTTCTTGCAGGTTCAGAAAGCAACGTTAGGCAGTGGGGGCCGTTGCCCGCAGCCCAACACCCGTTGAAACTGCCATCTCCATGCTGTTTTGCTGTGGAGGCTTCAGAAGGTAATGTCCGGCACTGGCAGCCCGACGACCTTTGAAACTTTCAGTGTCATGCTGTTTTGCTGTGGCAAAACGGCAGCTTTGACGCTTGTGATCCAAGGTCCAGCGGACATGAGGGGTGTGGGCCTTACTGTGTTCATGGTTGCTGCAAAGTTACCCGCTGCCATGGTTCATCCGTCTATCAAGAATCTCCCACCATCTTCCCCATTAGAATTCCGCTAAGTCACACTGTGATGTTCTTGTCATACCGCAGCTGCAACCATCTTGCCACACATCTTTTTGTCGCATTTTTGTGTTTGTTCTTCTTCTTGTTCTTCTTCTTGTTTTTCTTCTTCTTCTTCTTGCAAAACCGCTTATTGTCGCATTTTTGTGGACCCCTAAAAATCGTCAAATACTAAGACCTCAAAATGAAGATCTTATCACTTCAGGCACTTAATGAATTTATAAGTATCTGATAAGTTGCTGTTATCCTGCTAATATCCTGTTTAAATTGTATTTTTAAAATTATTCTGTTTTAAGTTCCACTAATCGTTTAGGTGAACTTATAACATAATAATGAACACATAATCAAATATAGTCGAATATTAGTCAAAAATATTCGAAAATAAGTGAAAATAAGTGAAAATAGTTGAACATCTGTTTTTCCATGTCGAAGAAGTAACGGAAATGGATTTCAATTTGATGGTAGCAGTTTTGGCTGACAAAAAAGGTTGTTCAAAATCGAGAAAATTCATGAAAATGATAAAATCAAGAAAAATCAGAAAAATAACAACATATAAAATTGAGAAAATTCATACAACAAAAGAAACAAAAATAAAAGAAAAAAAACAAAAAAAAACAATATCCAGAGAATCCAGAAAATCTCGAAAATCCAGAAACTCCAGAAAATCTAGACAATCCAGAAAACCAAGAAAATTCAGAAAATTCAGACAACCCTGAAAATTCAGAAAATTCAGAAATTTCACAATTTCTCATTTAAATTAAAAGGAAAAAAATCAGAAAATTCAGAAAACCAAAAAAAAACAGAAAATTCAGAACCCAGAAAATTCAGAAAACCATGAAAATTCAGAATTTCTAATTTAAATTAAAGGAAAAAATCAGAAAATTCAGAAAACACTGAAAATTCAGAATTTCTAATTTAAATTAAAAGGAAAAAAGTTCGGAAAATTCAGAAAACCCAGAAAATTCAGAAAAAATCAAATTTAAATTAAAAGGAAAAATACAATTCAGAAAACCCAGAAAATTCAGAAAATCCAGAAAATCCAGAAAATCTAGAAAATCCAGAAAATCTAGAAAATCCAGAAAATCCAGAAAATCTAGAAAATCCAGAATACACAGAAAATTCAGAAAATTCAGAAAATTGAGAAAAATAGAGAATTTAGAAAATAAAAACAAGATGCAGCCTACGAACCCGAATGCTCACACGTATGTTAATGGTACAGATGTCACGCACAACGCTTTTCTGCTATAGTTTATTTGAACAGTCTTGTACATATTTCCCCTGTTACCAGTCTGCAGTGTGGAGTGGAAAGTGTAGAGTGTGGAGTGTGGAGTGAGGGATGTGGAGTCTGTAAGTTGTGGAGTGTGGAGTGTAGAGTGTAAAGTGTAGAGTGTGGAGTGTGAAGTGTAAAGTGTCGAGTGTGGAGTGAGGGGTGTAGAGTGTGGAGTGTGGAGTGGAAAGTGTGGAGTGTGGAGTGTAAAGTGAGGATTGTAACGTGAGGAGTGTAAAGTGAGGAGTGTGTTAGGAGGTAGTAAAGTGTGGAGTGTAAAAGTGTGGAGGTGGAGTGTGAAGTGAGGAGTGTAAAGTGTAGGAGTGTAGAGTGGTGGGAGTGTAAAGTGTAGAGTGTGGAGTGAGGGAGTGTGGAGTTGGTAAAGTGTGGAGTGTGTAGTGTTAAAGTCTGTGGAGTGTGGGAGTGTAAAGTGTGGGAGGTGTGGAGCTGCTGAAAAGTGTGGAAGTGTGGGAGTGTGAAAGTGATGGAAGGTGTAAAGTGAGGATGAAAAGTGAGAAGTGTGGTGTGGAGTGTGGCAGTGAAGGAGTGTGGAGTGCGGAGGGTGGAGTGGAAAGTGTAGAGTGTAGGAGTGTGAGTGTGGATGTAAAGTGTGAGAGATTGTAACGTGAGAGGAGTGTAAAGTGAGGAGTGTGGAGTGTAAAGTGTGGAGTGTAAAGTGTGGAGTGTGGAGTGTGAAGTGAGGAGTGTAAAGTGAGGAGTGTAGAGTGTGGAGTGTAAAGTGTAGAGTGTGGAGTGAGGAGTGTGGAGTGTAAAGTGTAGAGTGTGAAGTGCAACGTGTGGAGTGTGAAGTGCAAAGTGTGGAGCGAGGAGTGCGGAGCTTCCCCCATGGACACGGCGACGCCACAGGAAAGCCAGAGACTCGAGACAAGACGCATCGATGCAGCAAATCGCACTTTTCGTACGAGACTTCCTGCAATTTTGACATTTTCGACCCGTTAGCAAACAGATTGGAATGTCACAAAAGTGCCACGCCTGCCACGCAAAACGACATGTCAAGCTGCTTGGAAACCTTCGAAAAGGAGAGATTTTGCAGCTTCCCCCATAGACACGGCGAAGCCACAGGAAAACCAGAGACTCGAGACGAGACACGTAGGAACATCAAAACCAGCATTTCGTAGGAGACTTCCTCCAATTTTGACATTTTCGACACCTTATCAAACAGGTTGGAATGTCACAAAGTGCCACACCTGCCACGCAAAACGACATGACAAGCTGCTTGGAAACCTTCGAAAAGGAGAGGTTTTGCGGCTTTCCCCATAGACACGGCGAAGCCACAGGAAAACCAAACACTCGAGACAAGACACGTAGGAACATCAAAACCAGCATTTCGTGCGAGACTTCCTCCAATTTTGACAATTTGAAACATGCTGAAAGGACATGTTCTGCAGCTTCCCCCATAGACATGGCGAGGCCACAGGAAAACCAGAGACTCGAGTGGGAGCACCAAAACGAGCATTTCGTGCGAGACTTCCTCTAATGTTCACACTTTGTAGCTTCAAAATCGACGTTTTCCTACGAGTTTTCCTAGGAACCTGGAAATCTTGCAACCTCAAAATCGATATTTCGTGCGAGGCTTCCGTCAATTTTCAGCACATGTCAGAAAATGCCACGCCTGCCACGGAATTTGCACCTTGTCGCCACTTGACGCAGCCCTGCCAATGCGATTTGCGAAAAACATGCAACACGACACGTCTAAAGTGCTGCGCCTGCCACGAAAAATGACCATGGACACGTCCAAAGTGTTGCGCCTGCCACGAAAAATGCAACACATCTTCTAAAAACGTCGCAAAAGTATTGCGCCTGCCACACAAAACGACTTTCGACACGTTGCAAAACACGTCTGAATGTCACGAAGTGCCACGCCTGCCACGCGAAACAAGGCAACACCACCGTGGAAACCTCCAAAAATGACCACCTCTGCAGAACTTCCCATACGCACGGCCATACGGGGATCGCACGAACGGTTGCGGACGGTTGCGGACGGTTGCGCAACGTCGAGCGAACACACCCTCAACCCCCAGACCCCCAGAGTGAAACGGGAACGCTTGCTATGCATTCGGGAAAAATGCAAATTTATAGTAAAAATCATTTTTTTCAAAAATAATACTTTTTAGCAAATTCAAAAAATTCAAAAACAAAAAAAACAAAAAATCTATGACTTTCATAAAATCTATAAAATTCAGAAAATTCATGTAAAAGAAAAATCTTTCGTCTATGATCAATTCTGAACCTTTAAAAATATATTAAAAAAAAATTAAAATAAGTGAAAATAAGTAAAAATTAGTTCTATGATCAAAGGAAGTTTAAGGGGAGAAACTTCCGTGTTACGGACTTTTAGAATGTCAGGGAAAGAGTTAGTCAAAGAAAGAGTTAGCAAAGAAAGAGTTCGTCAGGGAAAGAGTTAGTGAGGGAAAGAGTTAGTCAAAGAAAGAGTTAGTGAGGGAAAGAGTTAGTCAAAGAAAGAGTTAGTCAAAGAAAGAGTTCGTCAGGGAAAGAGTTAGTCAAAGACAGAGTTAGTGAGGGAAAGAGTTAGTCAAAGAAAGAGTTAGTCAAAGAAAGAGTTAGCAAAGAAACAGTTAGTCAGGGAAAGAGTTAGTCAAAGAAAGAGTTAGTGAGGGAAAGAGTTAGTCAAAGAAAGAGTTAGCAAAGAAACAGTTAGTCAGGGAAAGAGTTAGTCAAAGAAAGAGTTAGTGAGGGAAAGAGTTAGTCACAGAAAGAGTTAGCAAAGAAACAGTTCGTCAGGGAAAGAGTTAGTCAAAGAAAGAGTTAGTGAGGGAAAGAGTTAGTCACAGAAAGAGTTAGCAAAGAAAGAGTTCGTCAGGGAAAGAGTTAGTCAAAGAAAGAGTTATAGTCAAAGAAACAGTTAGTCAGGGAAAGAGTTAGTCAAAGAAAGAGTTAGTGAGGGAAAGAGTTAGTCAAAGAAAGAGTTAGTGAGGGAAAGAGTTTGTCAAAGAAAGAGTTAGTCAGGATATATGAGGTAGTCAAAGAAAGAGTTCGCAAAGAAAGAGTTAGTCAAAGAAAGAGCAAAGAAAGAGTTCGTTAGGGAACGAGTTAGTCAAAGAAATTGTTCCCGCAATGTAAATGGGATTGCAAGTGGTGCTGGTGGATGAGTTGCCGATGGAGTTTTGAAGGAAGTCTCGCAGGGACCTCAAGGTTGCGTGGAAGGCTTCGTCCAACAACAACAACAACCACAACCAAAACCAAAACCATAACAACAACAACAACAACAACAACAACAACAACAACCACAACCACAACCACAACAGCAACAACAACAACAACAACAACAACAACCACAACGACAACAACCACAACCACCACCACCACCACCACCACAACCACAACCACAACAACAACAACGACAACGACGACAACAACAACAACAACAACAACAACAACAACAACAATCACAACAACCGCAACAACCGCAACAACCGCAACAACCGCAACAACCGCAGCAACCGCAACCGCAACAAGAACCACAAGTCACAAATCCGCCATGAAATATCCCCACGGCTATCGGCTATAGCAATCGACTCCAACCAACTCTACCTACGGCTTTTTTCATCACTGTACCATTCTCCATGGTATACCCACCAGTATACTCATTGTATTGTATCCTATATCCACTCAATACCCCTATTAATCCATTGTCATCCCTTATCTATCATCATATCTATTAATCCCATGATTAACGTGTCAAATCACAGCCTAGTTAGCCAATTCCATGAAAACATCCCAGCGCAGCATGGCACCTGCATCTGCTGCACGCCGCGTACCTCCTGCAGGTGAAGGTTTCCAGTTTCCAGTTTCCACCGCCCCAAATATGTTCAAGTTCTTCCCGACCTTTTTTCCAATTGGTTCCAGTTTCCAAGTGTTTCCAGTTTTTCCAATCTTTATATCTGTATAATCTTTATATTTTTTCAAAAGGTTTCTCAAATTTTTCATTTTTTCAGCCCCCAACCCCCGGATATGATCATCCCACTGACACCTGAAACAAGACGACCGCCACCTGTCCACTCAAACCCATTGGTCGTGAAGGTTGCTTGTCCTGGGAGCTTCTTGGTCGTGAATCTTTCCTGGCATTGGCCAAGCGGATGAATTTCATGTCTGACATGTCTGAAATCAAAGGTAGATGGTGGTTTCCATAAATAGGCGTACCCCAAACCGTTTGAAATTTGCGACATCTATTTTGGAGCTTCCGGATATGATGATGTTCGGCTCAATCATGCATGTTTGGAAAAAGGCAGCCATTGAGTTGAATGGTTCATAACAACCCTAGGCCATCCTAGGCCGCCTTTTGGGCCTTTTTGGACCATTCGATTTCAAGTCGCCAACGTACGGATCAACCATTCATGTAATGAACCCAAGAAAGCCCAGTGATTTCAAGTTACCATTCATTTCCTCTTTGAGCGTCTAAGTCTATGACGAGCGTCTCATGTGAGGTTGGTTCCCTCACCCAACTTGAACATATGTCGTACCAAGCCCATCTTCACGCGAAAAAACAGATCCAGGACAACCTCAACTATGAGGTTGGTGGTCTACCTTCAGCTTTTGTTAAACGAAACAGAACATTGTGGTTTCTAAAAATGGTGGATACCCCAAATTACTTCACTTCGAATGATCCCCACCATGGCATTCATACATTTTCTTACTGGCAAATCTTCTGGCATTCTATCTGACATATCTTCTGGCATTCTATCTGGCATTCTATCTGGCATATCTTCTGGCATATGTTTTGGCATATTCTGGCATATCTTCTGGCATTCTATCTGGCAAATCTTCTGTCATTCTATCTGACATATCTTTTGGCATTCTATCTGGCATTCTATCTGGCATATGTTCTGGCATATCTTCTGGCATTCTATCTGGCAAATCTTGTGGCATTCTATCTGGCATATCTTCTGGCATTCTATCTGACATATCTTCCGGCATTCTATCTGACATATCTTCTGGCATTCTATCTGACATATCTTCTGGCATTCTATCTGGCATATCTTCTGGCATTCTATCTGGCAAATCTTCTGGCATTCTATCTGACATATCTTGCGGCATTCTATCTGGCATTCTATCTGGCATATCTTCTGGCATATGTTCTGGCATATCTTCTGGCATTCTATCTGGCAAATCTTCTGGCATTCTATCTGGCAAATCTTCTGGCATTCTATCTGGCATATCTTCTGGCATTCTATCTGACATATCTTCTGGCATTCTATCTGTCATTCTATCTGGCATTCTATCTGGCATATCTTCTGGCTTCTATCTGGCATATCTTCTGGCAATTCCTATCTGACATCTCCTTCTAGCATTCTATCTGCTTCTATCTGCAATCTTCTGGCATTGTTCTGGCATATCTCTGGCATATCTTCTGGCATATCTTCTGGCATTCTATCTGGCAAATCTTCTGGCATTCTATCTGGCATATCTTCTGGCATTATATCTGACATATCTTCTGGCATTCAATCTGGCATTCTATCTGGCATATCTTCTGGCATATATTCTGACATATCTTCTGGCCTTCTATCTGACATATCTTCTGGCATATATTCTGACATATCTTCTGGCATATATTCTGACATATCTTCTGGCATTCTATCTGACATATCTTCTGGCATATATTCTGACATATCTTCTGGCGTCTATCTGGCAACTCTTCTGGCATTCTATCTGGCAAATCTCTGGCATTCTATCTGGCATATCTCTGCATTCTATCTGACATATCTTTCTGGCCATTCTACAAAATTCTGGCATTCTATCTGGCCATATCTTCCGGCCTTCTATCTGGTGCATATTCTCTGCATTCTATCTTGCAAATCTTGTGGCATTCTATCTGACATATCTTCTGGCATTCTATCTGGCATTCTATCTGGCCGTTGAGGTCCGGCAGTGCCCACTGGGATCTGGAGCTCGCGGTTGAGGTCCGGCAGTGACCACTGCGATCTGGGAGTCGCGGTTGAGGTCCGGCAGTGCCCACTGCGATCTGGAAGTCGTGGTTGAGGTCCGGCAGTGCACACTGCGACCTGGAAGTCGCGGTTGAGGTCCGGCAGTGCCCACTGGGATCTGGAGCTCGTCACGGTGGAGGTCCGGCAGTGCCCACTGGGATCTGGAGCTCGCGGTGGAGGCCCGGCTGTGCCCACTGGGATCTGGACTGCGAGGAGGAGGATGCGGAGGAGATGGAGGAGGAGGATGCGGAGGCGGAGGAGGAGGAGGCGGAGGAGGAGGAGGAGGAGAACAGCTCTGATAAAATCTAACAACCCTCACCTGGCAGGTGGGGAAAAAACATGTCTTTGGTTTAAGTCTAAGTGTATATTTCAAACTATTGGTTAATGGTACCTATTTAAAGAAAACCCCACAGGCTTTTATTGTGGGGGTGCTCGTGATTATGCTGCGACGCCCTCTAGAGCGCCTGGGCATGCTGGCTGCAGAACAAAGGCACGAACAGAAACAGCTGGAGAGTGTGTTTCAATGTTTTGTTTGCAGTCTTTTGGAACGACACCGATCTTTGAGAACTTTTTTTTGGCCAAATGTGCACTTTTTGAAAGTTCACTCTTTGATCCATTGGCATCGTTCCATGATGCCCGATGACATCCGATGATACATGACGATTGAAGGAACATATTTCTGATGATGTTTGATGATATCTGGTGTTTGGTCATGATGTCTGATGATACCCGATGGTTTTATCACATTTAATGAAATTGCATGCACGATATCGGATATTGTTTGATGGCACCTGGTGAAGTTTGATTATGTCACGTCTGCCGGTGTGTGATAGTATCGGCAGGTGCATGTTTGCAGAGATGACATGAAAACAAGTCTATAAGTTGTTGTTTCGCGCGACGCATGCAGCGATCTCACCGTGTCAGACCAACAACTCTTCCTTGGCGGAAAAATCCATGATCCACATCGCAGTGGGGAAACAACATGTGTGCAATTCTATGGCATGTTCAATGCATAGATCTTTTTTCGTCTTATATAGATTTTTTTTTTGCAAAGCACCCTAACAAACGCAAAACATTGTGCAAGCATCAATAAAACAATTTGTTTTTCGTCGAAGTTCGTCTGTCCTTGAGGCCAGAGCAACTTCGCCTCTTCTGCTGAATCAGCATCAATGTCCTCCTGCACTTTGATGAAGATTCTCAAGTAGAAGAACTTTGGATGATGGCTAGGGTTTACCATGGTATCGACGGTGTTTGGTTATGCCATTTAGAATTCACGTAGCCAGTTTCACAATGGTTATACATTTGTTCAGTGGGATGATCCTCCAAGTATACAGTGTACATCGGTGTTTGTCATTCGCCTCCGCCATTATGTATATCATAAATTGTATGTCAACTATGTGGCCGTGGCTCAAGAATGGGTGCCCAAAAACTGAATCACACGGATAGATGTGGATAGTTTAATGGGAAAAAACTTTTGCGAAGCTGCAGAACAAGCTGGGTAATTTGAGCCAGTTAGAAAATTAAAAACAGTTTGACCATAACCATGTGACTGAGTCCCACCAAGCCAGCTTGGCTTATCCGAGGTCCAGTCGTTGGATTACCCTGTGCGGTGCTTCCTGAAACCACAGCTCTATAATATCAGGATACGGACTAAGTAGGTAGCAATGGATGTTATCAGTTATCGATATAAAGGAATTAATATTCTATCTCCGGCACTTGATTGGTAGTGTCCATTTGAGATATTTCTCGTCATCTCAACAGTTCTCATCCTTGGCATGGCTAGCAAGGAACATGTTTGTATAATTGCAACAGACATGACAGACTCATGACAGACATGTGGTTTTGATGTTTTGATGTTTTGATGTTTCTTATTTGGTTCGGTCAACTGACATGAAGCGTCGGTATGGATATACCACAGTCGCTGGATACCTTGGATACCTTGGATACCACGTGTCAAATCACATGCTCAAACATTGCCATTCTCCCGCGCCTCAACTTCCTCAGGATGCTCTGGATCTTGATTCTCCTCAGGTGCATTCTGATCCTCATGGCAACCCAAATGATGGCCTAGCCATTTCGGAATACCCGGCCTGGTGAACTTACAAATTGCAATGTAAAACGGCCATCATTATTTAGGAAAACAAACCGGAAATTCCTCGATCTATTGTGGATCTACCATTGCCATGCTAAATCACTCGAGAGAAAATAAGGCCTCATGGCACCATGATATCTCATGATACATCATGACACCATGGTTCGAAGTCGATGCACAGCCAACTTGACAAAACCGGAATGATGGGATACCACAAAAATACCGGGATACCGTTGTAATCTTGACAAAACCCCATACAAACGCATAAGAACCCTTTCAATTGACCATTGGTTTGTGACTACCATAGCTTTGATACGTCAATTGCCTTCAACCTTCCCTCCCTGCCCCAGATCCTGGAAAAATCGAAATGTTTCAGGATCGAATGCCGCTCCTGTTGCGAAGTCATCCCGACTTGGCGAGGTCAAAATCATCCCCAGATGGTTCCTCTTCTCTGGTAGCTTGGTGGGCGCGTGGATTTTGTCAGGTAATTGTTATGTGCCTGAGTCATGATTTTGTAAGGATTGTTTTTTCAGAGTACCCCCCTTACAATGCCATCGAATAGGAGCGATGATTTGGTAAGATGCAGCTTGTCTATGGTAGTTTTGCCATAATTTGCGGAACAGACCAAAATTTTGAAAATTAGGTTTTCCAATATTCTATGTTTGGGGGGTTTTGATTTTGTCAGCTTTTTGACAGCCGACCGAAAAAAAAACTAATAGCTGCATAGATACTAAGCAAATATGCGGAAAATCAATTTTGTCACATCAAATAATGAAAGATAACTGGAAGTCATGTAGTCATAAGACATCAATCTCATGTATGACATGGTGTATTGTTCCATATTCCAATGTGTTATGTTTTTTGAAAACACAATATTGAGCGACGGCGCTTTGCTTTTCCTTGAGCCAAAACACGGAGTACGCAGCAGTGTGGTATTCACACATACAGCTTATAACCCCTGGATCTGTACACTGTACATGGGCTATATATGGTACTAACATGTCTTCACTCCTCCTTCCTTGAAGAGTGGGTTTACTTACTACACACGCAAAGGAATCTCGCTCCCGGCTCTCAGTTGTCGAACTTGAGGTGAGTAGGTAGCGGAGTTTGGCCAGGGACCTTGCTCTATTTCAGCAAGCTAAGTTGGCCTTTACCCCTACTTGACAGGTAGAGATAGTCGGAATTTTCCATTGTCTGCTTCATCTGGACTCCCGGTACGGGCTTCCCAAGACAGCTCACACTTTTACTCTCGGCGTATTGCCAGTCAGTGCGGTGTCTACAGGGTTACTCTATATACCTCTTGAGCCTTGAGGGTGCATATAGATGTGCTCAATACTCATGCATGTGCCTCTGTAGGTATTAGGTCAAAAGAAAAACAAGGGGGCAGGGGAGGCAGAAGCAGGTGTCAGGGCAGGCTGCATCTTGGCCACTTCAGGTGAGTTTACAGCAAGCAAAATCAAATAGAAGCCAATTTCAAATAGAAGTAGGGCCCCTAAAAGCCCATTTCAAATAGAAGATATTGCATATCCAAGAAAAATGTTTCTTTTGCAACATCATTTTGGGACCCCATTTCTTGAATATTTTACAGAATATCTTCTATTTGATTTGCTTTTTGGTTGGGGTGCCAAAACCAAAATCAAATAGAAGTTAGCCTGTAAAATAATCTTAGTGTCTGGAACTATATTGAATGGCTTTAATTATTGAAGGGCTTGAATTATTGAAGAGCTTCAATTGTTGGCTAAGTTGATTTGTTAATAGTTTCCACAACTGAAGGGTTTCAAATATTGAAGCGCTTGAAGTATCGAAGGGCTTCAAGTGTTGAAGGGCTTCAAGTGTTGAAGGGCTTCAATTATGGAAGGGTTTCAATTCTGGAAGGACTTCAAGTATTGAAGGGCTTCAAGTATTGAAAGGCTTCCATTATTGAAGGACTAACAATATGGAATGAAATGTGAAAAATGTTGAACGTCTTTATTCTTTCCGTTCGACCTATATAACCATAAGTCTGCAAGTTCCAAAGGGGCTGCTGGGTTGGGATTCCCACTGTAGTGTTCAAGTGCAATTTCGTGACGATCGCTGGACCGTTGGCTCAATGTGATTTGGAGGCAAATAACATAATACTGCGAAAAATCGGCATACAATACAATGAAAAAACTTGAAGCTGGTGCATTGAAGGCGTAAAATATGATTAGGATATATAGGTCAATAGGCTTTGCGGACAATGGGATGTGCCATGCTCTCGCTTTTGAAATGAATCGGCTCAATGCAAAGGCTTGCCGCGCCTGGCCAAAACAGTTGCGGCAGCTCGGGTAGCAAGAATTAAAGAGTAAGACCGCCCCTTTGTCTTTGGCTTGCCTTTTGAACTTCCTTGAGGTCAGTCAAACAAATGCAAACTTGAGGCCGGGGGTGGATGACGAAAGCTAGCGGGGTAGGAGAAAGAAGGAAGGGAAGACGTAGCTTCAGTGTCAGCAGGGAAATGTCGGTGGCGTTTCCGCGTCAAACCCTAAGTGAGGATGCTGACCCTCTACCAGCCGGAAATCTCCTCTCGGGAAGGCTCGGGGGGACCAGGGGGGGATCGAACCTGATGCCGATGATGACGATGATGATGAGGATGGTGATGATGATGATGATGATCTGATGATCTGATGATCTGATGATCTGATGATCACGATGATGAGAACGATGCCAATGACCATGACGATGACGAAACCGATGACGATGACGATGACCATGATGACGATGATGCTGATGATGGTGATGGTGGTGGGGTTGGGGGGTGGGAGGGGGGGGGGCCCTTTCGCGTGAAAAATCACGTGATGTCCTTGAGCAGCCCCCGGAATACTTGCTAAAGCACGAAGACTCCAGCTAGCTGACGCTAGCTTTCGTGAAAAATCATCTATCGACCGTTTTTCTAAGGAACATTGCTTGGTCATGCCGCAATGTCTGGTGCAACTCCAGATTTCATCAATTTAGGAAATCTAGAACTCTTCGCAAGACCAAAGTAAGCAAGACAGCACACAAACAACAATCTTTGGCACATGGATGGTGGCTTGGAATGTTGCTTTGCATCACAACACGTTTTTTTCGCGGGCACCTAGTCACGTCGTCAAATTCTGCACAGGTCTTTGCTCCTAAATGTCCAAGCGCGTCTGCCTTGTCTGCGAATTAGGAAGCTGCAATCAGCTGAATCAGCTGCTCCTTGGCGTTTGGGCCTCAGTGTGGCAAAATCTGGCGTGCACGGCCAAGAACGTTAAATGTAACCACCGACCTGCTCACAAAGAAAGACCATATCTTCTGAAACTAAACTGGCTACAGAAGACGCATATAGAAAAGGCAGGCTTGTAGTAATGAGATGTAATTAGTTTGGCACTGTCTGCTTCATGAATATATTCAAATTTATGCAACTTTGTTCTTGTTCCTGTGTGTTCCTGTCACTAGCTCACCGTTCAGGCAGCAAATGCACTGCCCTCACAGCAAGTTGTCAAGCGCATTCAAGTGCTACATTGACATGACATGCTGTAAGATGCTGTAAGTATAAGCGTAAGCCTAGATCAGCGTATATCACACACACACACATATATATATATATATGCCATGTTCGCCTTCTGCCCGCATCGGGACTGCACGATACACAATGCGCAGTGCAACCACCAAACCCTGAGGTCCTTGCTGGGTTTGATATCCTGCGCCTGGCAGCCTTCCACGAATCCTGAAACATGGAGAGGTCCAAACATATGGTATAGCTATGCCTAGCAGAATCTAGACTTGCAGGGGACATGTTGCGCATCTTGTTGCTGGATGCAGAGCAAGCAATTTGCAATGAGGCAAATATAGGCCAAGTGTTGCAACTGATCTACCTCCTGCCGCATCTCTTCGATTTGCATTCGTTGTATCTCCTGACTGCGTTCAAGAGTGTCAACATCTGTCCACAATCGAAAGGCGCCAGCAAGAACAAAAGGATGCAATATGATGCAATCAAATTCTTCAGCGGGCATTTTGAACCGTTTTCGAATCTAAACTTATTTAAGGGCTTCGGCCTCTAACAATGCAACAGTTGACTGTCGACTTTCCAAGCCCTGCAGGTAGTCATGGGACTGTCCAGTTGCCGCCTTGTATTCCCAAAAAAATGCCCTGTTCAGAATCAATGATCTACTTTATTAGATGTACAGGCACCGTACTTAAGTCACATCAGGCGGGAAAAGCCACATCATCCCCATGTCACAGCGGCGATACAGAAAAGTCACATCAGGTAGTGGAAAGTCACATCAGAGAAGAAGAATCACGATGGCACAGCCTGTTTCATCTACCAGTAGTACCGCACAAGGCGGTGGCGAAAGTTTCAAAAATAGGAAACCTATAGGAGAAGTTGGTTGTTGTGAATCAGGGATGGCAGAGCGAAGCCACTGATTGACCGGAAGGTGGTTGGAGTTGTGTTTGCTGGAATGGTTGCAATGGTTGCAGTGGTCACATCACCCACAACTGCTGGATGTAGTGTGATGTGCTGCAACTGTAGTTGTAGTTGTAGCGTAGTGGAGTTGTAGTTGTGGTGTAATGTAATTAGTGTAGTGTAGTTGCAGTCATATGGTGTAGCTGTAGTTGTTTGTAGTTGTAGTTGCTAGTTGTTGTAGTTGCTTGTGTGGTTTGTAGTATGTT